ATATATATATATATATACACGAATAAGTAAGCAAAACCATTAGCATCTTGAAAGCATGAATGCATCTGTGAGATTTATAAAACATCTACTCTTAAGTATGGTTATTGTTAATACTATGTAATTCTCATATTATTCTTCATGAATCTCATTGCATGATAAAAATTTTTAATGATATTTAGTAAATAAAACTGGCTCAATTATTTTATCTATCTGATATAAAATGACAACTTTGGAAAGCATGGTATTATATGAAAAAAACATTTCATGCACGGATAATTATTCTCATTAATTGCATACAGCCATTAGTGATTCTATATTTGTCATATTCTGTGATGTTGACATGTAACTCTTCAACCGAAATAAAACCATATTCTAACATTCACATCCAATTTGCTTCCTTTTAAGTGGCACACATAGAGAAGACAAACGCTATTTTTTTATATGAGAAAAAGAAAAAAATGCATTTGAATTGTTTTTTATTGTCTTTTGAGGGTGTGAATGTAAGAATCTGACAGTTACAACAGTGCGTGTGCAGCCTCAAAACGATGAAATGTAATTATCAAAAAGATTAGTTGAATATTCATAGGTAAGTACTATAAAAATTGTTTTTCTGCCATCATTTTCACAATTTTTTTTTATTTTTTAATGAATTTTTTGGAATGGAAAAACTTCTTTATAGTCAATCTTCTATTGTAACCTCGTGATTGCATCAAATGAGAAAGGACTAAAACTAGGAGATTATGCAATGTTTTTGAGGAAGGTAGTTTAATATTTCCCTATAACCCATGAATGATAATAAAGAAAAAGAATTACATAGTTTTAGTTTAATCAATAGAACTCTGTTGGTTTTTGCACACTGTTTCTTTTTATATATCTACATTTTTTATTATTTATTTATGTAACGATGATTTTTTACCAGATTAAGCTTGAGAATATTATTATTATTGTTTTGTTTAATTTGATAAAGAATAGAATCTGCATATATTTTACCTTCGCAGTTGATTACTTTTAGGAATAAATTAAATCGTTTATATTAAGGATATGAAGAAAAAAAAAGAAATGCAGAATAATATATTAAACTACTATTTATAAATGTTCTTGCAAAACTAAAGTTTAATTTGATTTTATTCCGTTGTTTATTTTAGTATAACAACTAAATAAGCTTTTTTTAACGTTATTTGCATTGAAACACAATTATTATGTCATTAGTATATATTGGTCAACAAATAACTATTTATGTTGGTTTCTTTTTTGTTGTTATTGGTATTGTAGGAAATGGAATAAATATTTTAGTATTTTTAAAAACTCGTACTTATCGTACAACTTGTTGTACATTTTATTTTCTTATTAGTTCTATTGTTAATATTGCTTTTATAATAACTAATATTACATCGCGTATTGTCAGTTCTGGTTTTGGAATTGATGTTACTCGTACATTAGTACTCTGGTGCAAAGCACGACAATATTTCGTTATTACATTCGCTTCAATTACATTTACTTGTTCATGTTTAGCAACAATCGATCAGTTTTTTGTTACATCACAAAATGCAGATCTTCGTAATTTAAGTAAAATGAAACGAGCCCATCGAATTACATTGATTATGATTATTATATGGTGTGTTCATGGAATTCCTTGTTTTATATTCTACAATATATCACCTGTAACCAAGACATGTATGAGCATGAATACTTTGTATGCTATATATATTATCATTCATCTTCTTGCTATTCTCTCTGCCATTCCAGTTCTAATCATGATTGTATTTGGATATCTAACTTATCGAAATATTCAATTGACACAAATTCTTGCTTTAGAGCAAGCTGATCGACAATTGATTAGAATGACAATGTTTCAAGTTATACTGGTTATTTTTTCTCTTGTACCATATGGTGGTAGTATTGCTTATAATTTGATCACATCGGGCAATATTAAAGATCCGAATCGAGTGCTCGTTGAAAACTTTTTTACAGCTATATTTAATCTATTTCCTTATTTCTATTATACAGTATGTTTATTGATATTTATCTTTCGATAATAGAAAAAAACTTTTTTTGTTCATTTAGGGAAGTTGTTATATGTTTTTAATTTCATCGAGCCGATTTCGTCGAGCAACAAAAGAACAAATATTCTTTTGGCGAAGATGGAATCGTGTCTTACCTACATCTGTTAGATGAATCTACAATCTATAAATCAACATTAGTCGAATATTTCCTAAACCGTTTGTATGCCGATAGGAGATTGTGTCTCTGTATTTTTATCTAACCATATCTACATACATCCTGACTCTATTTTTCTTTATATTAGATTGTAAATATTATTCTACTCAATTTGATTATTTAGATTGTTCAACTGAAATCAGTTTTTATATTATATTGCTATGATTTTATTTCTGAAGTAAAGTAACGCGTAATTAAGATAGTTTGAAAGCAGATGAACGGATAGAAGATGAGCAAAGAAGAAAATAACTGACGGAGTTCTTGTTAGAATGTTTCCACAATTGATACAATCATCCTCCAAACTACCAAAAATATGACTAACCAATGAAGATTGATCGATGCCATTGTGCTGGTGAATGCTAAAAAAGAAAATGGTAGTAGATAAATGCAGATAGATGTGCGTGTAATCATCTTGTTGATAAGATCATGACTTACTTGATGTGGACGTAGTAGTTGTCGTTGTCGAAGTACTTGTGGCTAGAAAATAAGAATAATTTATAATCACATCAATAGTATCTTATTAGTTCAAGAGAATGCCAAGGTTTTCTAGTCACTCGCACGTTTGCTAAGATCGCATCCTCTGAAGAACTGTGAGGTTTAGTTCCAAATATACTGGAATTCATCAACAATCTTTTTCTCTGAGATTGAATAAAAGAAAAGAAAAGAAGATGTTCAATACTTACTAAAATAATTGAGAGAAACATTCTTTGGTCCAGAGACAATGATCGATAAATTTCCCGTGACATTTGGATAAAATGTTGTAACAACCAAAATATATTTCACATCAACTTGAAGATCAACAATCAGTTTGAATTGTCCTTCATTACACATTCCACTATGTTCGAAAAGTTTATTCTTCAATGGTTGATTTGGATCAAAATTGTCTTTGTAAATATAACCAAAAGTTCCCATTTGACTTTCACTCCAGAGAACATAGGATCCATTTGTTATTATATTGAATTGAAATACTTCGTAATAAAAATCGGCTCTTTGAGAATCTCGATCGAAGGTCGGACTCTGACTCGTCAATTTGATTGGATAATTTAGTTGAATATTAATTGGATTTTCTAATCAATTCAAAAATGAGAAGATTTTTAATTTGATCTTTCGAAGAAAAACTTTGAAAGAATAAATATTTCACTTACTAAGATATTTGAGAATAACTCTGCTGGAGTTGGAAACAGTGATCGAAAATTTAGCAATTTGGTTTGGGTAATATGTTGTCACAACTATTAAGTAAGTCGTGTCCACTTGAAGAAAGACGTCACGTTTAAAATAGTGAAAGGAAATGCTACCATCATTTTCTCGAAGTAGATTTTCCGATGAATTAAGTGGATTGAAATTGTTTTTATAAATTGATACATATGTATCCCTCGTACCATTGCTACGAATAATGTAATTTCCACTCATGAATACTTTCATTTGGATCACTTCATAATAATACATTTCTTCGTTACAATCACGCGAGTATATTTGACTATTCATTGTCAATTGATATGGAACTAAAAAATATATATACATGAAAACATTTGAATCTTCTCTTGGTATTCAAAGATTTCCGATGTTCAACAATAATTTCTACACTCGATATCTTCTCTAGACACTCAATTAAAACAAACTCAAGTCTCAAACAATAAAATAATTCCATACACCCGAAATTTTGGAATTGATTCAATTAGAGAATCTTTCTCATCAGAAATAATGTTTTAATGGAAATCTAAGCCCATGTCAATATTCATATTAAGTACTGTTGGTAACGATATTTTGACATCACTCCTGTCTTCTTAGAAAAAAATCTTCTTTTAAAATTTGTCAAATCTTGGTAAAAGTCAATGATATAAAGAAATTTTTCATTCAACTTACCATAAGAGTTTTCATAGAAAGAGTATTTTTGAATTCGTCTATCGCCTACATCAGTGACAAATAGATTTCCAAATTGATCGAAATTGAGAGTGAACGGATCCAGTAATTGGGTAGATTCGGAACCCTCTGCATCACATCCAACTAAACATCGAAAACCATCTAATCCTGAACCAACAATCCGATTGTTCCCAGAATCTACAATAAACAAATAGCCATCTCTATCCAAGACGACTCCAGTTGGATGAAGGAGTGAAATGGTTTCCTGTGAAGATCCGTCGCCAGCCACAGTGATAGCGATCGATTGTCCTGATTTAAAAAGTTGGATTCGATTGTTTTTATTATCTGCTACGTATAAATCAGAATTGAGATCAACAAAGATTCCCATAGGATTATTTAACTCATTCAGAGCAGATCCTTGAGTACCTGTTCCAGCCGCTATTATCGATGTCATGGCACCCTCATTTAACCATCTCTTTACGACTTGATGACGACCAAACATCGAACAGTAGAGAGTATCATTAGTATCAACAAAGAGACCATAACATGATACATCGACATTCAATACGGTGACAAAAGTATTTGTATCTGATATCCATCGTGTCACTCGGCCATTCTGATCACCATTCTCGAAATAAATATCTCCATTGTATGTTACAAATATGGAAGATGAATTTGAGAAATTGGCAGAAATGATGTATGTTGGATTGACACTTCATTCAGACCAAATGAGAATTTGTTTGTTTTCCCTATTCATCGTATAAACTGTGTTATTTGTATCTACAAAAATGCTCAAAGAATCTGAACCAATGATAGTTTCATCAGCAAAAGTGTTTCCGTCTGGATTCCAAGTAGCTGAAGAACATAATTTTGGTAGATTATATGATCGTACTAAAATAAAAGATCAGGTAAAAACGTTACAAAAGAACGAAATGAATAATTTTCTCTACTTTTACAATTAGGTTTCTTTTTTAACGAAACATCTTGAGGGT